TTTTGCTCTTACCCTTTGTTTGTTTGAGCATTTTTTAGATACGTGTTGGTTAGACTAATCACATAGAAATCCAAACAAAGCCTATATATTTAATTAGCACAACCTCAATATACATATTTTGCTGACTTCTTCTAATGTACGACAAGGTAAACTTGGGTAGTTAGGACTTAGGACAGGAATAATGAAGTTTAGTTCACACCACCTTCCAAAAAAAGAAAAAGAAAAAGAAAAAGGTGGTGATTAATATGCCTGTGCCCTTTCTAATTCACTCTCTCTTGAAAAGTTTGATCAAGGGCCAACCACAATTTGGCCAGCAACTTGGTCAAGATCTCATTGGCCACTAGATGTGATTTTTCTCCCACTGATACAACCAAACCACAAAAAAAAATAAAAAATAAAATAAAATAATAAATTAGCAAACTAATTGACAACATAGCAATAAGATATATGCTTAAAGAAAATCATGCATTACATGTTACTTGGTTGGTTACATGCTGGCTTCGCCGTCATTTTATCATCAATTATTTTACTCTATTGACTTATTGAAATCTTAATCATTGGTCTTCTAGTTTAGGTAATTGCTGCTTTTGGAGCTGTGAAGCATGAGGACATTGTTGTGCAAGTAAAGAAATTGTTTACCAAGTTGTCAACAGATCCAACTACAGCGTCTGAATTAGTTGCTAAAGAACCAGCAATTTTTACAGGTTCCACGGTGTGCTTATATCATATAAATATTTCACGATTTGTTTAATTTAAACATTCTCTTCCATCTTGTCTTTCTACAAAATTTATTAATTGGCATTCGTTATGTGAAAATTAGGTTAGGATAATTGATGATGATATACCTTTGGCACAATTTGCGGTTGCTTTCAATGGGGCTTCTTGGACGGATCCAGATTCCATTGCTTTGATGGTCATGCAGTCAATGTTGGGATCTTGGAATAAGAATGCAGGTGGTGGGAAGCACATGGGGTGAGTTGTTTGAACATCATTTGTGGGGTTTTAATAACCAAGTTGGATATTTTCATGTGATATAACCTGTGAGTGCATGCATTAATTAGTTTTTGACAATTTGTAAGATTTTCTGAGCTTGCCCAGAGGGTTGGCATTGATGAGATTGCTAAAAACATGATGGCCTTTAACACCAACTATAAGGACACTGGTCTATTTGGTGTTTATGCCATTGCCAAGGTGAGATTATGTCCTATAATTATGATTTTGTTAGTTTCAGGGCCTTCTTTCCCTCCTCATATCTGGTTCTTTTGAATTTTTGATATCTTTTTGCCATGACTCCATATTTTGTTAGCAAATTAAGAACATCTATAAGTCACTCCTTGAAATGATTGGGTTGTATCTCTTGTTCCCTCTTATTCCATTTCTTTCCTCACTCACTTTTCTGATGGACTAGGTCTCCATTTGGCACTACTGTGTGTTTAGCTTGGAATTACTTTTTTTTCTCTTGAAATAATGCTTTAGGTTATGTTTGGCTGCATCCTTAAAGTACTTTGATGTGTAGAGGCTCCCCTAAAGGCACATTTTTAGTGAAATAAACATACAAGAGGATATGCAAGTGCTTTTGAAGTGTGGCAAACAAACACTCCTAAGCCTTTTTACAACAACATCTTCTATAGAGCTCTTAACTTATTGAAGGCCTATACACCACAAAACAAGCCTAAGAAGTGAAACATATTATTGGATGTTGAGGTGGACACTGGTTACTTGCATTCTAGGTGAGTTCAGACCTGAAATATAGTCAAAAGTAAAACAAAATAGCCCACTTGGTTCTCTTGTGGGTGATTTAGGTATGTCGGAAAGGGAAAAAGGAAGAACTGTGCCGGGGGATGAGGTTCACCCCTTCCAGTACCCTTTATTGGCAGGGATTAACACTAGGATAGTGGTTATGGCCTCTAAAAGATTCTCAGAATAAAGAGGGTGGACACCAGGAGAGTAGGGAAAATTGCAGTAAGTCAAGCGAGAAGAATAAAAGGCTGACAAGTGCAAAAAGTTACAGTGGAAATTTTGAAAAATTGCAATTCTTTCTCTCCATAAATTAATATGATACCGAGTTAACTTTTAGAATGATTTCCTTTCCACTAATATCTTGGGATCAAACTGTTATGGCTTAATAGCCAATACCTAAGAACTCTCGATCATGGTAATCTATAGCAAAAATATTAAGTATCAGGATTTTGCCCAGACTGAGATGCCCATTAATCATAATTTTATAGCATCACAAACATGATAAAACAGCTATCTGTATTGCCCATCAGTTTCCACATCTGTCATGCGGAGCTTTAGTTTGATTGATTTTAATTCACAATTGATGTTGTATGTTATGCCTCAATAATTCTAGTTATTCATTTTCATTTTCACATTTTGTTTTTAGCCGGATTGCTTGGATGATCTGGCTTATGCAATTATGTACGAGATGAGCACGTTATGTTATCAAGTTTCTGATGCTGATGTTACTCATGCTTGAAACCAGGTAGTTACCAGTTCTTGTACTGAACCTTGATATTATCTGCTTGCTTGTCCTCAGGTTTTAAGTGCTTATAGTAAAACTATATTGCATATATGTATATATATATATATGTATATTGTTTTGTAATTCAAAAACAATACAACATATGTGGCTACCACCCTAATTTGTGGATCAATATGCCTTCCATATATGCTCAGGTCTGAAGTCTTTATTTCTTTATAGTTGAGTTCTAGAGATAATGAAAGCCATAAGTTATGGATTGAACTTTCAATATACTTCTATTAATGACTAAGAAATATTTATAAAGTTGGGGATGTTTAAAACTGTTTTTGGTTCACCAAGTAAATAACCCTTTACCAAGCATCCCATATTTTGCCTGTAGTTATAACTTATCTTAGATAAGTATTTGTTGTGCCAGAGTGAGTCAGAGCTACATCATTTGTTGAATAAAATGTGTTATCCACATTTTTTATTACACATTAAAACTAAAATATGGACAAATGAGGTGTGGTAGATTAACTTCTATCCATGCAACATGCTTAGTTTTGTGAAAGGGAAATTGATTTTAGCTTGGCCTCTTATTTTTTTATCTTGTGGTGTTCAGTATATTGGCATTCACTTACAGTTCTATTGCATTGTAGTTGAAATCTTCTTTGCTACTTCACATAGATGGAACCTGTCCTGTTGCTGAAGATATTGGGTGCCAGGTAAAGAACTTGATGCATTTTTCATTTGCATATGGTAAAAAAAAGGTGGATAAAATAAAATGAAAGAATTCCTCGTATATTACTTGCAGAAAATAAAGGATTCCCTTGCATTACCTTTGAATATCTTGGATAGTCTACTTAAGAGCCTACTAAGTGTGTAGCGTTGGATAAAGACAGTTTAGTTTAGTTTCTAAAACATGGACTCTTTTTATCAAATGATAATTACTCTCATGAAATGTCGGCAGAAGACACAAGCTTTTGTTTTAAAAAAATTTCCTTCCTGGCGAAGACCCAGATTGTTTGGTGTAATCCATTATGTTCTTGTAGCTACTTACGTACGGGAGAAGAATCCCATTCACTGAATTGTTTGCCAGAATTGATGTTGTAGATGCTAGCACTGTCAAATGTGAGGCAAACCATTTTATATTTGATCAGGTAAGGATTAATGCATCCCCATTGCTAATTGCAAATTTACCTGTTATGAGGGAAGAATGTTAAAAAATTATTGTTTTCCTCCGTACATTCAATATTTGTGCTAAGTCATGTTTGGCCTTTTTGCAGGATGTTACCATCACTGCCATGGGACCCATCCAGGGTTTACCTGACTACAACTGGTTCAGGCGTAGGACCTACTGGCTCCGTTACTAGGTTCTTTCGCATTCAGTTTTCTTCATTATTACTCCTCACCTTATTACCTTTTTCATGTGGTCTCCAAAACATTTTGCTGTTTCATAATGCAAACCAAATTCCTTGGTGAGTCCCTTGAAGGGTGGCCCCTTTATTTAATTTTTGTTCCCAGATTTTTTCTCTGTAACATTGCTCTATCAGTAAAAGATAATTAAGCTATTTTCAGTGATGTATGAGACAAAGATCAGTGTAGCTAGTTAGAGTTTTGAATGTTCAATTTTTTTCATTAATGCTTTGGTTGTATTATTACTCACAATTGTCATGTGGGTGAGTGGTATGTGATGATACAAGCCCATTTAACTTTTTGTGTGCTCATGTCCCTATTAATAACTCTGGGTGCCATGAAATTGAGTTTTGAGTTATGTGTTGTAAATTGATCATACTTGTGTAGTTTTTGACCCAGAATGAATGATAGGCATGAGTTCATGACTCTGAAGCTTTTCCAATGGGCTTCTAGCTAGTGGCGGGCCTCACATATGAGAGGTTGGGGGTATAACTCTCTCCGGCACTGCTTCTATAGCTCATCTGTACAACTTGTCACTCATTGCAATTGTAGCTCAGCAGTTCTCCTTCGCCACACCCTTAACAGTAGGCTAGATATATAAATTCTATTGGAAATTCTATATAAAAAAAATAATTGTTATATCTACACCAATGTTGCTCCATAGCTTTCTAAATTGTACCTACTCTCTTTTTATACAAGTTGATTTGAGAGAGAATGCGGTTACAGTCATAATGGTTGTGGATTACATTTATCAATTTCTATTAAATTTGCCAGAGAGAGTTGAGTGATGGTAAAATCCCTCACTCTTTATACTCACCAGGGTCATTATAAAAAGATACACAAGTCTCTTAATCATATGACGAGAATTTCAAAGTCTACCATATGAACCATATTAGAACTCACTAAGGAATTATCATTGCATAAAAGTAAGTAATGTCACATTTGCAAAGAACGTCAGGAAGCCCACATTTTGGCTCCATCCATATCTGCACATCTTACCTATATAACATGCTGGTTTATTAAATTATATGCATATTCTCTCATATGCTAATCATATTTAAGATGTCTAACCACACAACGAGTTGCAACAATAATGACAAACCAATGAGTTCTGTCTCAACATGGCATATACACATTAAACAATGGACACAAAAATGGGATAATTAATACCATTGACCCAACCAACTTACATGATTTCCAGAAAAAGAAAAGAAAAAAAAAAACAATTTACATGAGGGAATCAATTACAAAAATCGCTCCTCTGCCACACAACCTTCTAAAATATATGGCAGCACTGGTTTTGCATCAATATTCTATTCCTTTTTTTTTTTTTTTTTTTTCTATTCTCAATTCTAACCTCCTTTTTTTTCTTTTCTTCCCCCGCTTCCTACATAATATACATGATGTTAGATTTACCTGTAAATGTATTTACAAACTACGACCACTGCCTACCTCTACTACTGTTGCTTTTCCTCCCACTATTATCTAGCCTTCGAGCCCCACTTCCATTTCCTCCCCAATCTTCATCGTTATCATAATCTTCATCATCCCTACCTGTACAACGCCCAGACCTCCCCTCTCTCCTCGAAGGAGGCTGTCTCCTCTTGATGTTCACTGTGTATGTTGAATAGTCAATAATGTCTTCCTTCGAAGCAGTCTTGAATTCTTGCACAGTAAAAAAAAAAAAAAAGTTCGGATCGTAAAGACAGAACAAGAGTTCTAGCTCAAAACAGGCCAATCGATTCTTACACAATGCGTTTTTTTTTTAATATTATGATTTTGGGTTTTTTATCAAGGCGTATCTATCAAAATTCCTCCATTAAAAGAAAAGATAAAACTTGCTAAGTCATTAGAATGAATCCTAGCAATTTCTAATAGGGTCACTGCTAGCTTCAAACCAAGTATGTCAAATGTCAATCAAGTGAAGCACAATGAAGCTTGTCCCTGTATACTATTCAACCACTTGAGCAATAGACAAGGTAGAAAATCTATAAATGCAATAAAGCTACTATGCATGTTCATAACAGTTTATATCTATGCTATTAAGAGAAGAAAAAAAAAAGTATTTGCAACCAAGCACATAGAAAGACACTGATCATACTTTCTAATAAAGATGCACAAAGAGAACTAGATAAGTAAAAAGGTAGATGTTCTTCATTATGCAAGAAAGCTTTGCAGTGACTCAGAATGTCAGTGCTCACACACTACCTGATATCTTTGCAACACTTCTTGATGATTGATAGGCAGATCAATGCGTGTTTCATTGGTGTTGAAGGGAATGTTCTTCTTTGAGAGAGCCTCCCCCGATTTTAGGGGTTCATTTGGAGAAAATTCCTGGTTAAAGACAGTAAGATATTACATGAAAATTAGAATCATATATGCCACTCTAAAGTAACAAATCTATGATACATAACAACAGAAACCACTCCAAAGAAGATTTACCTGACATCGTGTATCATTTAGACCATACACAATTTTTAGATGCCTCTTTAGTTTCAGAAGTAGCTTTAGCGCAATAGCCGAGAGACAGTCAGCCTCTGTAAACACCACAAATTTGAATGCCAAGTGAATTGCATTAAGTCCGAGAATGCAAATTTGAATCCATAGAAGACATAAAAAGCAAGACCTTTAAGATTACCTGTATTTTCTACAAATCATCTTCAGATATGCCACGTGAATTGCATGGACTCCTAGAATGCAAAATTTGAATCCACAGACATTGAATGATTAGAAACAGGCTCATCAGTTGTCTCTTCCTTAAATGTCCCATTAAGATCCATTGATATAGAATGACTGGAAACAGGTTGAGAAGATGGCCACTGTGGAGTTATCCCATTACCATGCACTATCTTTGCATCTTCTTGTAATGAGTGCAAAAAGGTTTTCATATTTGCTTCAAGTGTACCGGATCTAACTTGTATAACTTGATTCATGGCATAAATCAAGTAAAGCAGCTCATCAGCCAATGTGAAAGGGGTGAAGCAAGGATTTCAGTACAGTACCTGGGAAAAGCAAATTGAAGTCAATATATGTAGTAGAACCACACAACTCTAGGATGGGCACCAAAGAAATAACTCACATCAGAAAAGGGATGACTGAAGGATTCCAGCTTGGAGTATCGAATTTGTGCACTACCGACGACATAAATTTGTTCCTTGAAACACGATTCCCACGGATCAGCTTGTAGATTCAAGAAACACCAAGCCTTGCATAGTTGAAAGAGCCATTATTGAATTTCCCTTTCATACTATCAGGTACCTTGAGTTGGACTTTTGGGTTTGAATTTTCAGAACTTCCACCCATGGACCTAATGAAAATAAAGGACATTTAAAGGCCATCTTCCAAACGGCTTTCAAAAAATGCTGGATACCTGGAAAGATGCTTTCAATAGTTAGAATAATTAGATTAACAAGATACCCAAAATTTTGAAGCATAGAGAGGGAAGTACTTTTCATTCAGAAGATGACGAGCCAACTTTGAGTTTGCCTCCTCAGGATCTGTTTCAAGAGCAATAAGGTATGGGACACAAGTAATAGGATGAACTAGACCTTTTTTTTTTGAACAGCAAAAATGAAAGACTTTATTGATGAAAACTCATACAGAGTATGAAAAGATACATTAATAAAGAGGAGCTTGGAGCTAAACGAAGCTCCAACCTCCTAGTTGGTGAGAAGCCAACAAAGAAGACAAAACCAGCAAAACCAGAGGAAAAAGGCCAAAATAAAACTACAGTTAAAATCAAAGAGGCAACACAACCCTCTAAGTTCGAGAGCAGCCAAGACAGATCAGATCAGAGCATAGAAGGGCCAAAACAAAAAACATCCACAAGACACTGGCAGCCAAGACCAAAGCTAAGCAGATCAGGCCAGAGCTAGACAGATCAGGCCAAGCAGATCATCACCAAGACATGCACTAGATCAGAGCAAAGCCCGAGCAAAACAGATTAGAATGGGCCCAGAAGATCAGCACCAAGACCAGAGCAAAACAGATCAGAATTGAGCCAAGCAGATCAGATCAGAGCAAGACAGAACAAGCCAAGCAAATCATCACCAAAAACATCACCCAGAATAGAGCTAATCGCAAGACATGGACCAGAGCTTCACCAAATTTAACTAGAACTTCTTAAGATGCAAATAGCATTGACTGCAAATGGACTCAAGGACCTACCACCAAATTCAATCAGACTACAGGGACCTACCACCAAGGCAATATCTGATTTGAGGGAAGTTGAAAAGGAAGTCAGGAATTGAAAATTGAAACCTTTTGGATGCAGCTTTATACCAGAAGGCTAGTTTGGTGATGATGAGTTCATGAAGATCCTAAAGCTGTGGTTGTGTGCCTTGGAAGAGACATTCATTTCTATGTTTCCACAATGACCACAGAGTCACCAGAGGAATAGCACTCCAAATCCTCCTTTCTTCATTTCTGCAGCTATGCCCAGCCCACCATTGGAACAGCCCTTGTATGGACATAGGGACCACCCAAACTACCCCTCACCATTGCAGAAGCTCTGACCAAACTCTCCATACCATGGGGCAGAAAATCAGCACATGATCTATTGATTCTTGCTGGGACTTGCAGAAAGTACACAGGGTAGAAGAATCCCTGTCCAAAATACCAAGTTGTTGTAGGAAAACCAATGTTTTAACCTTATATTTCCAAGCAAGCCAGCCAAAGAATTGCCCTTTGGGAGGAAGATAATTAATCCACACCCATCTACTGAAGATGTCATTAGCCCCAAAAGCAAGGTTGGTATGCTTATAGAAAACAGAAACAAGGGACTGACCTGGTTTAGCAGCAGACCAGAGTGCCAAATCATTGACCTGAAGATTAAGAGCAGGTGCACCACTTAACATTCCATTTAGTCTTAGTAGCTCCTCTTTTTCCCAATCAAATAGAGGTCTCCTGAAGGTGACTGGCCAATGGTAAGAATTTCCTCTGATCTCCACAAGGTCCCTAACAGATCCCTCCTTACCATTAGCTAACCGAAATAGCCTTGGGAATTCATGTTTAAAAGAAGTAACTCCGCAGCAGTTGTCATGCCAGAATTTCAATCTGCAACCATTGCCCACTCTTAATTGTAAGTGGGAGACATAAAATGTGAATAAAGATACCTTCTGCTCAACTACTGATATAATATCACTCCAAAGTCAAGATAGAATATTGCTTGAGTTAAGATGAGGCAACCATTTTCCTCCCAGAAATCTGTATTTACTGCAGAGAACCCTCTTCCATAATAAGTCATGTTCCGAAGCAAATCTCCACCACCACTTGAGAAGCAAGCACACATTCACATCTCTAATTCTTCTTATACCTAGCCCACCTTGCTTGATACTTTTGGTTGCTTCCAACCATTTCACCAGATGAATTTTCCTCTTCAATTCGGAGGACCCCCATAAGAATGAAGCTTGAATTTTGTCTAACTCCTTAGCTATACCTTTAGGTAGTTTGAACGAAGAGATAAAATACACTGGTAGACTAGATAGCACTGCCTTCACAAATGTTAATCTTCCTGCAAAAGATAGGAATCTCCTTTTCCAACCGGCAAGTCTCATTTTGAATTTATCAATAATAGGTTTCCAAGTCTTCTTTCTCCTAGGACTTGCACCCAACGGCAGGCCTAAATAGTTTAATGGCAATTTCTGTGTCTTGCAATTAAGGAGGAGGGCAAACTCATGAAGATCTGGATCTGAAAGGCTAATCCCACAGAGCACACTTTTATGATAGTTGATTTTTAGCCTTGAAGCTATTTCAAAGCATCTAAGAATCTGCTTCAAACAAAGTACTTCTGATATTTCAGCTTCGCAGAATAATAAAGAGTCATCTGCAAATTGAATGTGAGAGATCACAACACGAATGGATCCAATGATAGCCCCTTGCAACAAATTCAGTTCTCTAGCTCTCTGTAGGAGTATATTCAGTGCTTCTACAACCAAAATAGATAGGAAAGGTGATAGTGGATCACCTTGCCTAAGGCCTTTTTGAGGACTAAACTCCATGGTAGGTGAACCATTAACAAGGACTGAGAGTCTTGCAGTAGAGACACATTCTTTTATCCAAAAAGACCACTTAGCACCAAAGTCAAAATTTGCTAGCATTGAGAAAAGAAAGTTCCAATTAATGGAATCAAAAGCCTTTTCGAAATCTAGCTTAAACATCAGCCCTTTTTTCTTAGATTTTGACCAACTATCCACCACCTCATTTGCAATTAGAATACCATCAAGTATATTCCTTTCACCCAAGAAAGCTGATTGAGTATCTCCTATAATTATGGGCAAGGCTCTTTTAAGTCTGGAAGCAAGGACTTTTGAGAGAAGTTTGTAAATTGCCCCAACCAAGCTAATAGGCCTAAACTCATTCAAATTGATGGCTTTATCTTTCTTAGGAGTGAGAGAGGTGAAAGTACTATTCATACCTCAGATTAGTTTGCCACGGGTATGAAATTCCTTCATAAAATTAACCACTTCCTCCTTAATCACCTTCCAATATTTTTGGAAAAACATCAGGTTGAAGCCATCTGGCCAAATTGCCCCAACCAAGCTAATAGGCCTGAACTCATTCAAATTGATGGTTTTATCTTTCTTAGGAGTGAGAGAGGTGAAAGTACTATTCATACCTCAGATTAGTTTGCCACGGGTATGAAATTCCTTCATAAAATTAACCACTTCCTCCTTAATCACCTTCCAATATTTTTGGAAAAACATCAGGTTGAAGCCATCTGGCCCTGGAGCTTTATTCCCATTGCAATCTCTAACCGCTGCCCAAACCTCCACTTCAATAAATTCCTCTTCGAGCCCATGGAATGAGTCACTGTGCCTTACACTTTTAAAGTCCCCAACAAGCACTGGTCTGATCAACCATTCTTCTGTGAAATGCTTTGAAAAATAGGCCCAAACTTCATTCTTAACTTGACTTGGCTCGTCAAGAACTAAGTTTCCTTTTGTGATAGAGTTGAGTGAATTCCTATTTTGTCTGTTGGTAGCCGAAACATGGAAGTATCTTGTATTTCTATCTCCTTTCAGATTCCAGTCAAGCCTTGATTTTTGAAGCCATTCCCATTGCAACTTTCTGCTCAGCCTCCACATATCATTTCTGGTCTCCCTTTTCAACTTCAACTCCTCCTCGTCCAGAGGCCTAGTTTCAGCTATCAAATCCAGTTCATTGAGTTTATATTCAGAATTTTCAAGTTTGGAAGTCACGTTACAGTGGATACTGATAATAGTAAGATCATGAATTTCACAACATGAGAAACTCCATTTATGAATTCTAGCCCATAACTTATAATTAAAATAATGGAAAAATCAATGCCTCTAGCTTTTAGACTTTTAACGTCCTTGTTTTCATGTTCTCGAACTAACCAAATGACCAATAAATCCACAATAAAAAATAAAAAAATATTAGTCTTACTGATTGGCTTGTTTGGGCAGACCAGTTCACTTATTTGAATCAAAAAAATTTAGACAAACAACCAAGGATAAGAACACAGACAAGATTTTAACTTCACAGCAGATTGGCGAACTTGTTCATTCACATCTAAACATCTTCCTAAGATGTTATCCGAATACAATTGAACTATTCCCCCACAGATATTAGTATCACCGGCACCTGCAGCAACAGGAACACTATGGCCACCATCTACGGAATAATTAACCGCATTATTACTGGTATTATCAGTTGCCATTTGACTTTCTGCATCAAGAAGATACTCGTAGATATTTTGCAACGCTTGCATCTGTACAACAAATCAATTCAGTATATGGACAGGAAGTCAAGAAGGAAAACAGAAAGAGAAATTATTACCTTAAGTCGCATGTCAGTACTAGAAGAGAGTGTTGCCTCCAAAATTTTCCCAACATCGTTTTCCAACATATATTCAGGCCTAGCAATCAAAACATAACCTAATGCCTATAGAAATTAAAAACTTACAAGTTAAATAAGACGAGCTAAAATCCCTCCCTTCCTCTTTCGTGGTGGGGGGTGCACACGCACATTTATGGGCAAATGCTGAAGGGGCATACCTGCAACGATCTGACCTTTAGAACAAAATCCTCCGCATGAAGATACTTTTTAAACAAGTTGAGGCTGTTCTTGACATCTATATTTTTGTTACTGGAGCAGGATGTACTCAGCAAAGAGTTTCCATAACGAATAAGCAACCCAAGGCAGAAAAGAGATCGCCCAACTAACTGGAATTTACAGAAATTCAACAATTTCTAAGTTTGTCAAGTAAATAAATAATTTCTCAGATAATCATCACAAAAAGCATTAAAAATTAAATCAACCAAAGGAATAATTTATCAGCAAAAATAAAAAAATAAAAAAAAATACCCAAAGGCATGATTTTAAACTGCCTACGCAATTTTCTCTGCATAGGAAATGGTATATCAAAGGGGTAGTCCAAAGCACACCATCAGCCATGATGCAGAATGATTCTGAAAAATAAAGCTATAAAAAGCTATGGTCCATTTTCCAATAAATTATATAATAATCAAACTGTCTAGCAAGTATGTCCAACTCAACTGTGAATGTCAACAAAACAGGGAAGGGTGGCCCAATGGGTTACGAGATCCTTCTCATATGAGAATAATTGACAAGTTAAAGTTTTCAATAGTTACAACAGTATCTTAAATTGGAAACAGATGGCTTTCCAAAGCGAAAAAACTAGGATAACAAGCATAGGTACTGCAAGGGGAAAATATAGAAGATAAGGACAACCAAAACTAATAATGTTCAACTACCTCTATGATCTACAACCTATTGAGTGACAAGGTCAGACCCCATCACGAGTATACACATTTCAAAGAGATCTCTTAGGGGAGGGTGGGAGCAATTGTCACTAGAATATTCAGTGCTTGGGAGCATGAAGCAAACATTGTGATATATATAGAACAATTCTAACAAAAAAAGCATGTAAATTCAAAACAATGCAGAAAATCAAAGTTTTGAAAGGTGAATGTGTAATGTAAGACATTTTACCCCTCATGAGGAAAGGTGTAAGCCTTAAGGTGTTGAGGCATAAGTATTTCAAATTTCAAAATTTTATATTTAGTAAATAATTTAAATATTTTAAAACAATAAATAAATATATTAAAATTAAATATAAAGGTGTAAATACTTTTCTTTAGAAGGAAGCTTTGTGTTATTGAAAGTGAAATTGATATTTTTAGCTTTAGTGATTGAGTTTCTAATTGAGCATCAACTTTGTGTTTTTTTTCTTGATTGGTCATTTACTTAATTTTTCCCATATAATATAGTTGCAAAATGAGTTATTTTTTTATTTTTTACTTTTTTACGTTTAAACCATCTACTAGACTAAGTTTAACAAGAGCTTAAGCTAAACTTTTCATATGCGTACTCCTCACATGCTTATGCATAAAAGGTGTACAAGACTCACCTAAGGCACATGTCTCAAGACTGTGTGCGCAAGCCTTTGGGGAGTAAAATCTAAAAATTAAAGTCTTGAGGCGTTTTGCCTTAGCCTTAGTAAAGTCTTTTAAAACTTTGTAGAAAACATAATTTTCAACTTTTGTAAGAAACCATTTACAAAGATCTCTTTCCCTACAAAAAAGCTGATAATAAGTTGTTACAATTATTGCAGTGATTTTTCAACAAATATTTTTGTGTTCTAAAGAGGAAATTGTTTTAGTTGTTAAACCCCTCTGAACCCTTCATCATTCTTTGTGAAGAGAGAATCGTCGATGATTCCAACCACTCAATGGTTTCATGGATGGCTTATATCCTTCTTCCTTTTTGGGGAAAAGGAAAACCACAGGAGGGCAAATGGATTTTTTGCTGGGAAAAAAAAAATACAAAAGATGTAGTTATTTCAAAATATCCAACAACCTGCTTGTTATCAAATCCTAAGGCATCCAAAGGCTTGAAAAACACCTGAACAAGATACTCAACTACAGCTGAACCTTTCCCTGCCACTTTACTCACAGAGCACAGGCACCTGAACAGAGAAGAGAATCAACTGGTAAATATAATAAAGCGTAAAACATTAATTTTATGGAGCACACGTTTAAAATTATGCATCAATTCATTAAACCTGACTCAACTAAGAAAACATTATCTCAGTTTGAGATGTTACTATTCTTTCCCACCATTTCACTATCGCTATGGCCATACCCAACATTATTAGCTACAAGATAAAGATGACCTAAAATGGCAGGGAAAAGATGCACTTATTTGGATCCTAACTCCATATATGGCTTATACCCCCTTCATCATTACCTTGTTTATTAGGATCCTCTAAGAATAATGATCTCTACCAAACCAAACCTTGCATCCCAATCAATTGGAGTTGGCTGTATGAATCCTTTTTTCTCATTTTACTATATCAATGGCTATATACCCAGCTATTTTCTTATTACAACATCCCATGCCAATTTAAGTTTGAGATTCAAGGGTCACTTCTAGCCAGTGTAATTGTGATATTCCTGTTCCGTAATATGCTAACTGGTCCTTAACATGAATGTGATTATGTGTTTAGTATGATTCTGTGTGCTAATTATGTGAATATATATGGTTTTGAATTTCTATTTGTTCACCGTAGGAATATTTGTTTGAATCGTCTACTTTGGAAATTAAATTGAAGGCCTTATCGGCCATAGAACCTGAAATTGATTACGCCATTGTGATTGGCATAATTTTTAGAGCCTACGGTAAAATTGAATTGGAAGTTGATTCGAATCAGATTAAATTGATTTAATTAATCAATTAAGTGCTCAATTAGCTAATATTAAATTAAGGTGCTTGAATGGGGTTATATAAGGGACCATTATATGCTCAATTCCCTTTTTTATTCAACTTTGGCTGAAATCAACTCCCTAGAGAGAGAGAGAGACCCGAAATTAGAGGGAGAGAGGGGAGATAATTCAAGTTTGGTCTTGAAGCTTGAATGTTTGAAGGCCAACTCTAGATTTGACCATAGATTGGAAAAATTGAGCCTCTAGGTAAGTGAATTCACGAGTTTAATGTTGTAAATTGTGAATTCAAGTTTGAATAATGGTCAAGAACATGAATCAGTTTGATTATAAAGAAATTGAGTTGTATTTGTTGAATTTAAAGTCAATAGATGCATGCATGTAGGAAATTACTATGAATTTTCATATTTGAGCACAATGTGTATGACCCATGTTGAATTTTTGGTTTAAGTCCATATATTTGATCACCTCTTCACCAATTAAGTTGAGGATATTGTGTATATTCCACATGCAAGTGCAAATCATGGAAGTATGAACCTTGAATGTTTGAATTTAGTGTGCTGGTGATGAGTTTGAGTCAATTTGGGACATGCATGTGTTTGATTCATGAAATTGAGCTTCATTGGGTTGTAATTTGGGGTTTATACCATGTTAGTACAAGTGTATTTGAAGTTTGACCTATTGCATGCAAGAAATGTTGGATGGAATGTCGAGTTGAAGCTCAAGAACTTAGTCCTTCGGGGTGCGATTCGTTTCGGGCGGCTGGTGCGTAGTGTACGTCGTGGCGCGTGAGTTGTGTTTTGTTTGTGCGAGTTGGATGGATCCCTGCCTGTGTAGCGAACTCCTCTGGTGCATTCCTCTTCATTTGTGCTTGGGGGCAAAATCTTGCCATCTGCCTCACGTGGGTTCCTGTGTTTCCTACCTAAAGAAAATGAATTCGGTCCGTATCGTGTGCCTATATTCGCCTCGCCACCTCGTGGCGCTGGGTGAACCCCAAAGTATCTCTCACGTTCGATGCTGTCCTCTCACGTTGTCTTGTCGGTGGCATGGCCCGCAGTTATGCTCGTGCTCTCGGATTCGGAGCCTTGTGCGGGTACACGGGGTCTTCGACCTCCGTTTCCCCGCCAAGCGTTCGTCGGTCGTTACGGGCTACGGCCACGCCTGCCTCTGGCCGTGCTGGCTCTGTCGGTCAGGCTTATGCAGTGCCGGCATCGTAAAGAAGGAATGCTACCTGGTTGATCCTGCCAGTAGTCATATGCTTGTCTCAAAGATTAAGCCATGCATGTGTAAGCATGAACTAATTCAGACTGTGAAACTGCGAATGGCTCATTAAATCAGTTATAGTTTGTTTGATGGTATTTGCTACTCGGATAACCGTAGTAATTCTAGAGCTAATACGTGCAACAAACCCCGACTTCCGGAAGGGACGCATTTATTAGATAAAAGGTCGACGCGGCTACACCCGTTGCTCTGATGATTCATGATAACTCGACGTCGGGTTGTCTTCGACTCGCCTTCGGGTTGCCTGCGCTTCCCTAGTGGAAGGTGCCTTGCGAAAAGCATGTCCCTCGGGTAATTGCCATCTCGTTTGCTTTGACTTGCGAACGAGCTGCCTGTGCTTTCCAAGTGGAAGCTTGCCGCGAAATGTATGTCCCTCGGAAGGTTTGCACGTTGCCTTTGTTACCAGCAGCATGTCATGCCACGGCCTTGGCAAGCATGCCATGTCCCTCGGGTAATTGTACAAGTTGCCTTGCGAAATGCATGTCCCTCGGTTAAATAGCCATTTGGCCATGCCATGCCTAGGCCAGCAGCATGCCATGCCACGGCCAAGGCAGGCAGCAAGCCATGCCACGGTGAAAAATAGAGAGAAGTACGATGAGAGAAAAAGTGAGAAAGGGGATTTTTAGAAAAAACAGAGCTTGAGGGCCGAGTGATATGAGAACCACAAATAAGAAGGGTGGGAAACACTACCCGGTGAAACAGGCTCCCTGTGACACATTGAGTGTCGTGTCTTTTTGTTTATCTCGATTCTCGTTTTGAGTCGTTTCGAGTGTTACCCGATGTGTCTAGGTTGTGTGCCTTTTATTTCCGTGTTGAGTTGTCTTGCTGTGTTCAGTCGTAGGCTCAATACTTGTCGAAAGCTCATCTCTGAATTTCAAAAAACAAAATCGTTTTGTGCTCCGAGTGCCATGCCATTCCCACATTTGTGCAAAACAAGATTCGTTTTTTCATAAAACCGCAGGGTTCAACCCAGGTCCAATGCGAGAACAGTAGAACTAGACCTATTTGAAGTTATATGGGTTCCAGACTACAAAGCAAAAAGCAAAAGAGGAAATGTCGGGTATCTGAGTTTGTTTCAACTTCAGTAGTTCCGAGACTACATCCCGTGTGTGCCTCTCAAGTCTTGCCAAGGCTCCGAAGTATGAGTGTGCCTCTACCTCAAGCTCAAGATCAAGTCTGCTTCAAGCCAAAATGGTAAATCAGAAGTGCTCTCCCTGAGTACCATTCCCCGCCAGAGGCATCTTGGCCGTAGTTTCGCAATGAGTTCCTAGGAGACCAACTGCGACGGTGAAACTAGAGTTCGAATGGCGATGCTTAGAACGTAAAGGTTCGGGATTTCCGAGACCAAAGTCTGTTTAAATACCCAGAGGGCATGCCCTCGGCTTGAAATCTGTAATGGCAGCCCCATAGATTGAGATAGCATGTGAATGCGCCTCGATTCTGGATACTGAATCAACCTAAGCCTGTCACCCCGTTGGAGAATAGGGAAAGTTATGAACATGGCCAGGAAGGAAAGGTAGTAACTGCGGTTTGGAAAGTACAATCAAGAAAGTGCAAGGAGAACCCACTCTTTTTCAGTTCAAAATGTTTCTGCGGAATTTTCAACTCATATCTTCGATGTGTGGCTCATCGTTCAGTCGGCATGCACGAGGTGTATCCTT